GCTGTGGAAAGAAATTCAATTCTACCCCATGATGTAAGGCTTGGGGGTTTGGGGATTTCCTTAGTTTTTTTGTATTTTGGTCAAGTAAGGTGCATCAGACTCTACAAATTTTATAAAAGGTTCTGCTGCATCACATGAGGACAGAGGCGCAAGTGGCATGGTCTTATTTCTCTCTAGCTAACTCGTATCTCCACAAAGGTCTCCCGACAGTAAAAATCATACTGCTGTTGAAAGGATTGCATATTTTCTGTTTTCAGACACCACCACATAAAACTTCCTTCATATTGTGCAGAAATGTGTGTAAGTACCACAAATGTTGGTTGATAGCAAATGTGCAATCCCGTGGAAGATTTGTATTGCCTCCAAGCCACCCAGTTAGATAATCTTCCCCTTACAGACCTTATGAGGTACAAGGCTGACCCCCACTTTTGGTCCCCTTGGAAAATTTCTAGCTGACATATATACCAGCTTGGTGTTTTTTCCTAGACTTCTTCAGAGTAGGTAATTGTTGTACAAAAGCTGCAAGCTCAGAAAACCATTTAACTTCAGCCATGTGAATAATAGGCCATTGACTTTAATGTCGCTGCTCATGAGCGCAAAGTTAAGCACATGCTTAAGTGTTCTGCATATCTGGGATCCTTGTATAATTCAGATTTAATGTGCCACAGAGCACAATGTGGGACATAATTCATTTCTCATTTTCATGGTCAAGCATCTATTACTGCAGAAATACAGCAGATACTTTTTTGCAGGTTCTTCAGTGAGACTGTGCTTTGTATCAACCTTAAATGTTTCATTCACCTCAGAATAACGTGTTGTTTTGTCTTACAATCATCTCCTTCTATCCCTCTGTTTTTTTACAGAAAAAAATTCTTGTTTTCCTTTTTTTATTTTCCCTAAATGTAGGTCAATTTAATGAGTAGTGCCTTTAGAAAATGACAAGTCAAAAATACATGTCAGAAATATCAAACAAAATATTTTGTTTCAAGTATACTAAAATGAGCTACTTTGGCAAATACAGAAATTCCCTCTGCCTTCTTATACTCTCATCAGATTATTTTTTGGTAAAAATACCAGTCAGTTTTAACTCCAAAACTTTGTTTTTTGGAGGAAAAAAGCGTATCTGTTAAAAAAACAGAGCTGACCTATGCTGCATAGAAACAGGCCTTTTGTCTCAACATTTCGTTAACATCTTAAAAAGCAAATAAGTCAAATACATGTGAAATTTCAGCAATTTATATTAATTTGCAGACATGCAGAAATCCATTTCTCTCCTTTTAAAGTCAATTACAAAATTACCATTTTGATACTTTATTAGCTTTTTGGCATTTCCAACTAATTTATAGGCATGGATACTATTTTTTTTTATTATTAACCTACTGCATTCTAAATTATTTTATTTAAATGCCCTGCTGGCTGCCCACATTTGCTTTTATTCTATTACTACTGTATATGAATGGAAATTACATATAGCTATTAGATTATTTCACACATTAGTTCATTTTATATAATCTTTCCTGTATTTATTGCCTTCGTTAGACTGAAATACCGCAGGCACTTGTTTCTCTAATGTGTCCGAAGCATTCTCGTTACTGGAAATTGGGTTATATCTCCTGATTACAGTCAGATGAAATCCAGAACTGGGAGCTGACTGCAGCATTCTGCGACAGGCCGTCTTACCAGTGGAGCTTTCGCAGAGGGTTGAGGCCACAGGAGGCCCCCACACGGACCCCAGTCGGATGCAGCCCAGTGGTGTGTGCGAGGATGCTCTGGTTGGGCTTGCTGGCACTGCCGCCAAGGGGCAGAGCTCCGGCCGGGCAGCTGACCTGGCCAGAATGGCTCTGCCCCTACCAGGACCACATCCAGCTGCTTCATTGCACAAGGTGGCCTGGCAGAGGCAGTGGGTGCTGGTTTGGCATCTGTGCAGGAGGAGAGCAGTTTGGCATTCAGCAAGCCCTAGGGGCTGGAAGGGAGATGCTGTCAGAGCAGCTCTTTGTCTGCAGGACTCACAGGGCCAGTGCTGCTCTCAGGGAGGAGTGGGTTTCTCCTCCCTCAAACTACCCGCAGCTGCAACAGTGTTCAGAGCCACAGCTTGAATTAGCAACCATCGTGAAGTGGGTTCTTGGGTCAGCTCTGGCACCAGTTTTGGGCCAGCTGAGCACAAAGGGGTAGCACACAGCAGGATGAACATCACCTGGGCCAGACAGAGGGTGGCAGAGGTCACTAAGCTCAGTACAGGGAGCCTCCAGCCACTCTCAGTCCAATGTACAACCCTGGCACAAAGGTATCTGCTCTAGCCCAGCTCAGACAGGCCTGCTCAAGCATCCACACAATCCAGCAGAGACATGACGTTAGTCACTGTCGTGCATGTCATTAGGAAGTAAATGCTGGGGCACAGCTAAGACACCATCCAAGTCCTTAGACAGCTGGAACATATCAGCCCACTTTTCTGGGGAAGCAGCAGGTCAGCAGCCATAGGTTCCTCTTGGAGCAGCTCTTCCCAGGCAAGGCCCAATGAAGAGAGTCAAACGAGATCCCCAGGATGGCTGTCACAGGGTGTAGCCAGCATGACCTTGAGAAGCATTCCCCAGCCTGGCACAGTAATGGATTCTGTGAATGCTGCAAGCAGATCTGGGTCTAGGCAAGTCAGAACAATATCCCTTAAAATAACTAGCCCTTTGCCTGTTGGCTTGGATTACATCCTCTGCTGGCTCCTTGTGGTGGACACAGCTGCCCTTGCCAAGCTGATGTGGCAGGCCAGGAGGTTGATCTGCCTCACTTCTGCTGTGGACACCAGATCACACATTGGAGATAAAAGAAACTGGAAAGTATAGTTCTTCCACTTGGCCACCTGGCATTGGTCAGTGACTGCCTCCTTTGAAAGCCTGGACCAGCTAATTTAAGGAAGCAGGAAAAGGAAGAGTGCAGCACACCTCCATCTCCCCTGCATGTGGCTGCACCCTGCATCCTGGCCAAGCATTGCATTGAGGAGGTGAATGAATTGCAAGCAGTATGTGGGCTTTGGAAGAAGGAAAAGAAGAGATTCAGAAGATTAAATTCCTCCCAAAACAGAGCATCTTGAAGCAGCATAACAGGTGCCTGGATGGCTGCTCTCAAATTCTGCAGGGTTCTCTGCACGTCCAGAGAGTGGACATCCATGAGCCCAGTAGATCAAGCTCATTCACTTACATCTTTTGGATGGAGATATTCCCACCTACCTTTATTCTCCAAAGGCAGCGGTTGGCCTTCAGTTTTTACAATCCAATTTTCATCTGATTCCAGACGCTCTGGTAGATTATAATTTTATCCAAATGTTGCACTTGCACTACCAGCTGTGTTTGAGGCATACCACAACAATCTGAGTATGTATTATGGTCTTTCTCTTTCCCAAGAAACAAAGCACATACACTTTAGGATAGCAAAAGCAAATACAGGTATACTGGCAAAGAGAAGAAAATGACCTCAATCCACTATAGGCAGCCCTACTGCGAAATAGACTAAAATATACTCAGAGACCTGCATCCAAAGGCTCTGTGAAGCTCCAGGAGTTATCACTTTCAATTGATATTTCATGCACATATCTCTGCAGGTATGAAGAACATCTTGAAAAACATGAGAATGAAAACGTGGCTCTCTCCATGAGCACAGCCTAAAACAATAGATCACAGGTACGAACTATCCCATTTAGCTCAGACAGCTGAAAACGCAATGATGACAAACTAATGTTAACGCTGATAGGGCTGGCTGGTTTTGAACACTGCCTTTCAGTCTGAGGGAGTCCACAGCTTCTAAGGAGTCTCGCAACAACCTCCACCTGGCAGAAAAGCATCCTCCCACCCACCCCCTCCTCAACACAGCACACTGCAAATGTAGAGACAGCATGAAACAAATTGAGGTTGAAATTAAAACAAAGAAACCCTTCTTCACAGATTGTATTATTCTGTGTCATATTTCATTCCAGGAAAAAAAACAACAAAAGGAAAAAAAAAATCTTAAAAATTAATCCACTACAGAATTTCCATCCTGCTGCACAGGACACTGTATACACAGGGGGCCAGGCCACAATTTATTTCTAGGCTATCATGGGGGACACAAGAAACAGTAACTATAACCAGTCTAGGAGTAGCAAATTGACACTTTGCAGTCCCCTTCTTGCTGCTATCCCTAACAGCAGTGTGTGCAACCTATTGCTATTTGGTTGCCCTGCAATGGCATGACCCCTTAAGGAGTACCAGTGATTGAGTAACAAATTCAGCATGATCAATCAAGCCTCACAACACTCAATTCTTTGTAAGTAACCGTGCCATAAAACAAAAATAAAGCAGTGTGCAAAGCTTCAGACCCTCATGAACCAAGCAGTGCTACCCTGCATGCATGAGCAATCTCCTCAAAATCCTCGGTGTGCAGATCCCAGCAAAAGCAAATGCTCTGCGAGGACAAAACTCAGTGCATGTAAACAAGGCAGTGAAACATACTCTGAACAGGAAACAATTTCCTGTGTCAAGCTTCCAAAGGCCTCGAAAAAATGACAGTATAACTTCAAATGTAAGCAACAGTAAATCATCAAAGCCACACTGATTTACACCCATGGGCAGAACTTGTCCCCACAATAAACTAACAGATCATATTTGCTAACCTAATGGCCAGTGTTCCCACACAGACAAACTATTTCATCCTGAAAAAACAGGTTACAGCCATTATACACATTGTCTCCAAAGCTCCATTAATTCATTTCTTGCTGATAATCAAGGTGTGGTTTGGGATCATGCAAGCAAGCACAGTTCAGTTCTATTTCGAATTAATTCCTGGAGTGCTTAAAACACTCATAATAAACACAACGGAATATTAACAATGAGCAGTTGTGCTATTTAAACTAGGGATTAAATCTATTATGTGACTCTGAAAAAAACTGAACATTTTCCCAGTAAAGCAAAAAAGAGAAAGTAGAGCAGCCTCTTCTGTGGAAAAGGCTGCTTTGGTGGTTTGGATGTATCCATTACCTTTTTGTCGCTCAAGCCAGACACCTGGTCCACATATTCCTCTTGGATCATGAAGGCAGCCAGGTTGGCAGTGTAGCTGGCCAGAAAGATGACAGCGAAGAAGGCCCACACCGACACCATGATCTTGCTAGTGGTACCCTTGGGATTCTGCACTGGCACAGAGTTGTTGAACACCAGCCCCCACAGCAACCAGATAGCTTTGCCAATGGTGAAAGAGGGACCTCCAGGCTCTGGAGTGATTGAGAAACACGATCCCATAGTGAGCATCTCAGAGTAAGTGGTCTGCATTTCTATTCACATACACATCTTGACTTCAGAGTTAACAGCAGTATCTATTCCCACATGTGAGATGAATGTCTGCAGCTGCGCTCCCCTATGTTCATGGCACTATATCTCAGCAAAGTGCGACACTGAAAAATGATTTTTTTAAAAAATGTCCTCAGGCTTCCATATTTATTCTGTCTCAAAGACTTCCGCTGAAACCTTATACAAGGGCTTTTTTTTTTTTTTTTTTTATCTGATTGGAGTATCTAAAAGCCCAAACATTCAATTTCAGTTCAAGTGTTGTCAGCAGAAACAGAATTTGCTCAGAAAAATTCTATCCTCATTTCTAGCTATTCAACAGTGATATTGTCCTTGAACTCCCAGAGTACACCTGTGCAAAACATGGCCTTCACTGTACTTGTACAGGTGCAAGGAAGAGCACCATCTGAAATAACAGGCTCTACAAATACCTCTGAAAGAAGGTTTCATTACCCAGTCTGTTGAAGACACACAAGCCAGAGAAGAACTCAGCTCCCTGTCCCCATGTTCTGTGTCTAAGGTACATAACAGTGATATATATTCTGGTCTATCTCAGGGAAATCAGCAGCTCTGCCCCAGATAGTCCAAAAGCAGATCCAGTGTTTTACAAGCTGCTGTTTTCCCCTTATGCACTTTTCAGCATGGAAGCTCACTCATACCCCAAAAGTCATGTGTGCTCATGAAGCACTAGGCCTGAAAACTTGTGAAATCCTGCCTGTCTCCCAGCAATCTCATCTCCCCAGTATATGCTGGTTCCATTAGTGGGAACCCAAACCAAAATTTGCTCAACTTGAGCACAAGAGGAGCTGTCAGGAAGACTACAGATGCTATTACTCCAAGGATTCTGCTTCAAACACAGAGCAGATCCTCTTCAGATGAGAGCCTTCTGGCACAGTCCAAGGGTCTGTCACTTTTCCAGTGGTGCCAACCTGGCTCTGCAATCTTTTGGGTTAGCATCCCATGTTTTATCTCCTCCCCTGGTGCTTAGTTTTGCTGCCTGTGCTTAAGGTTGGCTCCAGCAGAGGAACAAAAGGGAAAAAAGTTTTGACACTCCTCTCCAAAACCCTGAGCAGAGAATAGTATAGATCATCTGAAAACACTAACTCTGTTACTCTAAAAACAACTGAAAGGTGCCAGGGGCTCATTTTGCACCCTGGGAACTGCACAGCCAGTTCAAAGCAGAATCATCACCAGTTCAAAGCAGAATCGTCACCTGGCAAAACTGGAGCCTCTAGATACCAGGGAGACAAAGCTGCTATAAGAAACATGGTTTGGCAGTCCTTGTCTTTTCACATACTGAAGTGGTATAATGAGCCCTCAGACACAGGGGTGCAAGGCCTGCAAATCATCAGTGGGAACATAAGGTGTAAGGAATCCTCAAGAATTCTCCTCCTAAAGCCTTCCTCTCTCCACTGATCACCCCATTTGCTTTCACAGTTACTTTTTCAGCCACAAACCAAGACAGCAAACCAGGGACCTGGAATCCTTCTGAGCTCTCCAACTTTCAGTGCCCCAACAACAACCCAACATCATTTAAGGGCAAGATCAGGGCATGCCCACCTGACCCTAGAGAGAAAATCTTGGTGTCCCTAAAGAGAAAATGAAGGTGTGAGAGGCAGGGCTATACTGTTGTAGACTAGTTCAAATGCAAAGTAACATTCGCCAAAGCATGCATTACCAAACAAGCATTGCGGTCTCTGCGGCAGATTTCTACCTGTTCATGTTACATCCATCAGGGATAATACCTGCTTGATCATGCAGTACTGTTCATAATTAATCAGAAATTTTGATACTTGCAGCTGCAGTTCAGCTAACTTAACTGCACAACTGCATACATGTACTAAGAACTGCTTCCAGTTCCACATCTGTATTAATATCTCTCAAAAGATTTGCAGGTTTAACAGTATTTACTTGTGTCCACAGATCCATGTGGTTATGATCAGTTGCCATAAAGGCCCTCCACAGATCCATGTTAAGAGAGAAGTTCTCCACTTCCCCATATATGTGGTTTTGCCTGCATTCTCATTAACATTTTTTTTCCACTCCTCTCTAATCTGATAGCACAAATTCATTCAAAGCACTAGACTGGGGAGCAAATGAGTGCATTTTCCAATAACTGTATCTTCCCCACTATTCTGAATGGACAAATAAATCCAGAAAGGTTTGAAGGGCTGATTCATCAGGAGGTGAAGATATGGAGATGACAGAAGGCTCAACTTGTTGTCTTCATGCTGTTAAGGTAAAAAAGGCTGTCTCTTAGGCTGTCTGTCCATCCTCTCTTTAGCTCATTGGACTGTCCTTCTGAAGATCAGAACCACAGAGATGAGTCACTCACTTGTTACCATCTTTCCTGCTGCCCTTGCAAAATAATCCATCGCCCACTCGCAGGAAAATGAGCTGCCCATTTTCTCAGTCGGCTTTAGCAAGCTAGAGAGCCAAGTAGGGGAGGGACATGCCCAGGTGACAGATGTGGAGTCCGGAGGACATAGCATTATGCTGGGAGGCCAGCAAGAGTGGCTTGCTCTCCGGGGAAATGCAGCACTGAAGGATGGATTGACAGCGCAGAGCCCTCTGATTGTCTCAGAGAGCACAGCAACATGGGCACTGCCAGCACTGGCTACCAGGACCTATTTTACCTCAATGAGAAACAAGCTGGAGCTGGTGCATGCTTTAGAGATGAAAGGCAACACAGCTCCGTCTCCTGAGCCAAGCAAATTATCCATTGTACACATCTGCTCTCTTCATAGCCTTTTTTGTGCCTCCATCCTTGCTCTCTTCAGTCTGAATGCAGAGCTCAGAGTGGGCTAGATCCATATCATGTTCAAGGTAAAGGAGACACCCCAAAGAAGTAGCTAGCATTGGAAGTGAGAGAGGATCACAGCAAGGAGGGACTCCCCTTACCTCTGCCATCAGCAAGGCACCGATTATAGCCCACAGGGCTGAAGTACTCAAAGACGAAGACAGCCACTGCAGAGATGATAAGCAGCATCACAAACATCATCACCCATACGTCAGCACTGAAAGGCTCTGGAGGGGAAGAGAAAACCACGGTGAAAGACCTGATAAGCCACGTCACCGCTCTGTCACCTGCTTTGCTCTCCAGAGCACCCCAGTGAGAGTGTGAGGCAAACTGGGCTGGGGAAACATAGAAGTTACAACAACATCTTCAACCTGAAAACTGTAGTTTCTGTCTCTGTAATGACTGCATTCCTTCTTACTGTTACATTTGTGACACATGGCTCCATCTGGAACTACATGCAGCCACCGTGGCATGCATTGATAAAATAAAATGCATTGATAAAAGATTGTTCTCAGGAAGTCCTCCAGCACCATCTGGAGAGAGTGGGGAAAATCAAGCAGAACTGGCAGAGTTTCAGACAAGCATCCAACTTTCAAGATGCTATTGAGCCAAAGAGCATCTCCAAATTTCTGAGCTTCAGCCATAATGATAGTAGTTTTTTCAGCTATTCTGTTCCTGTAGTAATGGGAACACTGAACACTGGCTCATTCTAGAAATGCTAGCATTCATATTCTGCAAGTGTTTGATATCTGCCAGGTTTTCTCCTTCTCCAAGCCTGAACAGATAAAGATGGGACTGAACCAGATCAAAGAAACTTAGAACTTTGCTCCAGACTATAGCCAATAATACAACCTCAGTTAAACTGCAATTTAAAGTTTTGGAGTTAACTTTATCATTGCTTTTAGATACCCCAGCAATATTGGTGAACTTGGCTAAAGCCAAAAACTCCTGAAGAATGAGTACTCACGAAACTCCTACTTAAAGAGATTTGGAAAAACTTCTTTATCCATATAAAGTTATTTCTGTTTGTAAATGTTCCCAGGATGCTGGCAGAGAGCAGACAGTAATTACATAACTCATATACTGTGTTTTCTGCATCATAAAGCATTTTATAAAACCAAATAGTAAATACTAGGAAAGCATGGATGTCTTGGGGAAATGCAGTATCCTTTCTGCATTCTCTGATCACCCTCCATCACTGAAGGACACTGGAAGACAACAGTGTCAGCACAAAACTGATGGCTCAACTCTTCTTGAAAAGCTCTATTAGATCTCTAACTTCTACCAGTTGCTCTGCCAAGGAAGGGTCAAGTTAATATCTTCTTTAAAAATAATGTCTCTCAAAGTGTAGCAATTTATTACTAATTGTTATCACTAAGTACTATAGCATACCAGCTATAAGGTTTGAATCAATTTTCTTCTGGCCTGCACTCCTTGAACATGCTATTAGTTGAGTCACTGGATAATCACATGCTGCAGAGTAGGTGACAACTCTGAGTGAGGCCATTCTTTGCTGGGATTAGGCATACAGTCGCTGAGAAGTGCCTTGCGACTCATAAGGACTGCGTGTTTGCATTTGCCTGGATTTTGCTTCCTTGGGATTTAGAACTAAAACATTGCAGTTTATTTTTATATACCTGTCCCACAGGTACTCCCAAAAAGGGACTTTCAGGCTAACAATCACAAGCAACCTTCACCTAATTTTTGATGAACACTGGGTGAAGTTTTAATTTTAGATACAAATGATACCTAAGAAGGCAGAAGGTGAGACAGTTCCATTGCTACGTGACACCATGACGCTGATTCCCGTCTCAATGAAGGGTACAGAGAAATCCACCACTTCTGAACGCTCCTCATTAATGGTCAGGGATCCCACAGCCATATAGGCCCGTTTCGTGACGACCTAGAGGAAGAAAAGGAAGAGATCACACACAGACCTCAGGCACCTCTCAAGCACCACAACCAAGCCCTTTCTCACCTTCCTGCCTTTCCACACAGTTCTTTTACTTCTGTAATCCCATTCCCTATATTATTTCGATCATCTCTCCTTTCTAATCTTTCATCAGGACACTCTTCTTCTTTCAGGAAATCTACAGACATTAATCTTCCCCTCAAAGCTGGTATGTGTATAAAAAATAAATCCGCAGAGGTCTTAGGATAAACACATCATCCACTGAGAAGACGTCTTATCTCATTTTTCTGTCCTTGCTTTCTCCTCCCTCCAACACTGCAAAGTCTTATTTCATTCTTTATGCACCTTATATATGATCTAAGCATAATCTAGGTTGCAGCCTCTCTGGTGCATGGATCTCACCCTCTTTCTTTGACTGTGAAGGCGAAATTTGTGACATTACAGAGAATAATAAATAATCATCAAACAGGAAAGGTAGTCATGGTCAGAGTGTCAGAGCAGATTAATTCACCTGGCAAAAGAGTCCAGGCCAATCATTTCTATAGAGTCACCTCTGTCCCTACCCAGTAATGATGGGAGACCAGACCTGACCCCTCTCACCCAGCCCAGGGATGAAGCCCATCATGCCCTCCCTTTGCTGCTGACCTCTCCAATCATTCCATTCCATGTCCCATTGATCTTTTTCCCATGCTTGCCGTTAGTCACCAAGTAGAGGTCATAGGTGAACTTGACAGACTTTGAGATTTTCTTGAGGATGTCAATGCAGAATCCCTTGCAACATTTCTTCATGTAATCTGGCTCCTCATCAGTTTTGTTCCTGAACCATCACAACAATAATGGGTTAAAAGACTGGGGAAAAGTCCCTTAATTCCCTTCTGCTGTCAGTATGCATTCCCCCTCCCACAATATAATGTGGAGAATTTCACTTGTGACATCTCTGCTGGTGGGTGAAGGGACAGACTACAATGATTTGCCCAAAGGGGCCGGTAATGAATGGACACAGGCCAGGCTGGGCAAACAGAGGAGGCTTTTCTAAAAAGGATTTTCAGAGTGTGATGGCATTGGCCTAACAGACTCCCTATATTCTGCCGAGAAGAGAGAGCCCAATAGGAAGAAAAAAACGCAGGGATGCATACTCGGTCACTATGCGTTTTTGGCAAGGGACTGTGTTCCTCATGCAGGTGCCACTTAGGGGGTCCACATTCTCCACGATGACAAACGGTGCCTCTTCCAAGGTCACAATACTCAGGTGATCATCCTCACGCTCCTCAGAGTCGGGATACAGCTCAAAGCGAGGCCACACATAGTACTTCATCTGCAACTTTTTCTCCTTCCATTTGCCCACCTGTGGAGACACAAACCAGAGAAGACAGACTTCTAGCTGCCCCATCCCTCTGCATCAACCACAGCTCCCACAGATCTGGGCAGGAGGACCACTCCGCAGTACCCAAGCTCATGGCTCATGTAAGATGAGGACATTTCTGAGAAGACAACTCCTACTAAGTGGGTTCAAACCAGGGGGAAGTGGAGAACAAGAAAGATGTCTGGGTTGTCTCACCTCTGTGATGGTCTCACCCTCTGGGAGAGTGAGTGGATGACCAGGGGGATATCACCACCATGGTCAAACATACACGATGTCTTTCAACTTTCTTAGCCAAACAACAGGAACAGAACTTGTTCTTTCCTGGAATGTTGAGTTCACCCTGTTAGTCACAATTATTTTTTTTTTTTTTCTGATAAAGAAGAGGAGAAATACATACAAATATATTCATGTACAAATGAAATTAATCAAAAAGATTCTTTTTAGCCAAACTTGATTTTGTCCAGAAATAACTCCTTCTTCTGGAAAAAAATTGCCCATTCATAGCCAGGACTGACTTCTTCCAAGAAACAGGCAACAGAAGAGGAAGATTTTAAGGGGTGTCTTCACAGGAGAAAAACATGGACAGACATGCTTGCTAACAGTACTTCTTGCTGTCCTCTGCTAAGGCCTTACTGAAAAACCTGCTCTTGTCCTTTCACAATGACTTGGTTACATACCTTAGCTGGAAACAAGGAATTGCTATGTGTTTCTGACACATGGAAAATAAAATGGAAGAGCATCTATGATGCTTTTAATCTTGCTATTTTTCAATAAGGATATATTGCAATTTTAGATCTTTTTATTTTCCATTTCTTAAGCAAACAGAGATCACATATATCTTCATCGGTCAGAAAAGGGAGGTGGGACCCAGTTGCCTTATACTTACTGCCCCAAATAAGAGTTTTTTAAAGCTACTCCAGTCCCTGAGGAGACAAAACATACAGCACACTCATTGCCCATGGTAGACCATTCCTTGCAAAAATTCCCGGAAAAGAAAAACCCTGAACATCAACTATGCTTTCAACTATCAGAGTCTTGCCTTTGTTCTCAATTTCCCCCATCATAGTTGACACTAATTAGCACTTTGTCTGGCAGCTGAAGCTGAGAGGGCAAGAAACTAACTGGGCTTTAGAAGGAACTTTCTTGCACGATTCTCAAAGAAAGCCCTTCAGGCCAGGGCTGAGACATGTTGACTTGACGGCAGAGGCAGTGTGGGTGCGTGGGAAGCTTGCATGACTGCTCTTAGCTGCGTACCTGCTTGGTGGGTAAACAGAAAATCTTCATTCCACTGCAATCCAACGCCCCTCCCACCACCCCCAAATTTCAGTCATTTGCTTATTTAAATGACAGGACAGGAGGGAGAAGCACTTATTAGAGGCTCATTAGGTGTCAGCAGTTATTCTGTGAAACTCAAAGCCCAGCTGGGGTTTGGCATTTGAGAGCAGCTAGAATTCACATAAAACACTTGTCACCTTCAAAACAAACAAACAAACGCTTCTTCTGGCCATGAAAGAAAAATCCATTCCGGGGACTTGTGGAGGTAGAAGAAAGGCAGAAGAAATCACCCAGAGACAACAACCTCACCCTCTATCCCTGTAGCATGAACACGGCACCCCAGTGAGGGCAAGGCAGTGGGTTTTGTAAGAAGGGAGTGAAGTGGCTGGGCAGCTGGTCTTATCTTCTAGTGCCCTTACAACCAGCAGTTGGCAAAAAAATGCCAAGGTGAGCTTGCCCCGAATGTTCCCTCTACCCATGGAGTCACACTGGTTGGACCAGCAAGCAGGGTACACAGCTATTTTTCTTCTTTTTATCTCTTTTTGTTTGTTTGTTTTTGTTTTTTCACTTGAGTGGGCAAGGATGGGTTGTTTTAATTTTTAAATACACTTTGAGTGGCAGACGAAAGCTGGTAGACTGGGAGCCCTGGAAACTGGTGGCCCCTTTTGTCCACAGAAAACAGGTAGTGTTGTCTAGGGCAGGAGGTGGTCTGCTAATATCTAAGCCTGGATGTGAAGAGTGCATTTCTGAGGGAATGAAGAGCAGATACTCTCATGCTCACCTAGGGTCTGATCAGCCCTGGACTTCCCACTCGTTGACCAAGCAGGTCAATTTATCATCATCTGAGCCAGAGATTTCTGCAGTGCAACTTTAGCCCTCAAGTAACTGAGCTCAAATCCCCACAACCAGTTCAGTGAAGCCACCAGACAAGCAGAATAACTGAACACACAGGGTTCAGTTGGGACCAGTGATTAAGATGCTGCACAGACTTCAGCTCAGTAACATTAACTTATCATAGAAATAAGTGGTTGATGAAAGAGACACCTTGCAGTATCTCAGCAGCACTTAGCTATCACAGTAATAGGCATGATATAAACCCCTAAGTGATAAATTAGATCAGATAGGCAAACCCAACTGGTAATTACCCAGAAGTTCTCCGGGACAGAAAGGGGAGTTCATAAGGCTGTATGCCAGGCACGTTTCACAGTGTTGTACTACATGGACAACATTACGAAATTAGGGTAACAACGACACAGCCTCCTGTGTGCTGAAGAACCTAACCTGCAAATACAGTAGTACACATCCTTTCCTTATTATCCCAATAAAATAATTCTACATTGTCCAAAAAGGAGGAAAAACAGGATGTAAGGGAATGTTCTGACCTAAATTTTCAAATTATCTACAATGTCTTGAGAATATGTGCAAATCTTAAGTTCATTGCTAACCTGAACAATTAGGTATGCCATATACCTGCAGATATGTACAGTTATGAATAAGCAAAGTCAGAAAAGCTTTGTGAATTAAGAGAGGGAAGACTTCTTTACATGCTCATTCACACAAGGGTCAAATGTGTACGCATGTAGTTAAAGAAGAGCAGGCTTAAGCAACATGTGGGCAAGGACAGTAAGGATAATAAGAAACAGCAGATGTGCAGAGGATGGAAACAATGCAAGAGAAAGAAAATATGAACGTTCATCGTATGGAAGATAATCTGTCATGCGAGGGAAGGAGCAATTCACTGTAGGGACAGAGGTTAGTCCCAACAGAATTAAATGTCACAGATACGGCCAGGTAATGATGCCTACTCTTAAAGAATATAACCTGCCAAGCTGTGCAGAGCAGAGTAAGGCACTTCTGAAGTCTCAGGGTACTTGGTATTAACAGCTTGTGAACTATTATTACTTAGGTTTTGCTCAGTGCTTGCCTCAGCAAAAAGAGGAAAAATTAACCATCCCAAGCATCCTACATATTTGTCACCCTGCAGTTTCAAGACCTACTGGGTGTTCTTCAATCAGAGTCTAGTCATCCAAACTCCCACCAGGAGCCCTGAAGGGTCACAGAGCCAGCAGAAGTAAGGATGCTAGGGATCTTTGAAACCCCCTTTCTAATAATTTTCTCTGATATGCAGGTATGTTCCTGTATGCCAGGGCAGGGCTCCTAAGATCCAGAATTTCACCTTAACTTCCCCTTCCTCTGTCTGTACCACATCTGATCTTATCAAGAAAGGAAGTCATTTTGGCTTGGGGATTAATTTGGAGGTGTTGATGGAGGCAAGCAGATAACTTTTACTTTAAACATAAGATCCTACTTTGGATAACAAGCTGTTGGAATTGGAAGTCCAATATATTTGCAAAGAAAGACAGAGCTATTGCGGAACAAAAAGTCAATCATATACACTATAGGTTTGCCTAAGTATATAAGCTATCCCATACAGACAAAAAGTAAGATTGCCTATGCAAGGGGAAAATAAGTGAGAGCCTTCCGAAAGTCTTCCAGCAGGCTAGAAAATTGCCTTAACCACCGTATAATGCAGCCAGAATAAAAGTGTTCTGCAGTATGTTAATATGCATCTTTAATGAAAGGTGTATCATATTGTTGTGGTTTTGTGGGGGGGTTTGTCTGGTAGCAGGGAGGGCCCACAGTAATGACTGCTGTAAGCAGCTGCTAAAGGTTTCCCTGGACTCCAGCTCTGCTGGCAGCAAGGGAGGGGCTGCAGTGGTGGCCCTTGTAAGTGACTGCTAAGGGTTCCCCCCCTCCCCCGGCTCCACCTGCGGTGGACAGAGAAGCAGGATTTGAGAAAAACCGGCTATGCAGACACTTGGTCAGAGAACAGGAGCGATAGGAAAGGGAGCACCCTCGTAATTTCCCCTGCAGCGTGGTGAAGATTCATGGTGACGCACGGTTTGTCCCTTGGTGCAGCCCATGAGAAGATGCAGCCGTGGAGGACCCCACGTTGGCAGTCGTTGGGGGACTGTGGCCCCATGTGGAAAAGGACTCACGCTGGAGCAGTTTTTTGAGAAGGACTCTCCCATGAGAAGGGACCCCACGCTGGAGCTGGGAGAGACTGTGAGGAGCCCTCCCCTGAGGAGGGGGAGGAGCCGCCAGCCTGACTGCCCCCCCCATTCCCTGCCTCCCTGCGCCGCCAGGGGGGAGAAGGTACAGAACAGAGCCTTTGGGCTTTGGGAAGAAGGGAGGGGTGGGGGAGAAGTGCCTTTTTAGGATGTGGTTTCTCTCTCTCAGTATCTTGCTTCTTATTGTAAATAGTTAATAAATTTAATTGGTTCTTTTTGTTCTTCACAAGTCGTGTTGGTTTCTTCCCCGTGACCCTAAGTGGTGAGTGAAACCCTCACTGTCCCTGCCTCAGCCCACCACGTGTTTAACAAAGGACTGTCCCTGTGGCCTTTCTAAACCACGACACATATTAATTCCCTGAAACTAATTCTTAACAGAGGCTTTTCTCTCCTCCCAAGAAAAGCTAAGGCTTGTTACAGCTATTTGTGGCAGATGTTTGTCTCACCTTTCCTTACACTGACACAGAGCCCACGATATCCGTGGGCAGTCTATTCCAGGGCTAACTATCCCTCCCATTAAAAAGGGTTTTTTTCCTGATATCTAGCGTAAATCTTCTTGCTGCAGTTTATACCAGGAGAGTATATTTCCTTATTCTTCTACATGTGCTCTTTTCAATGTTTTCAGGTCAGTTAAGATATTTATAACAGAGAGGAGTTGGTAGTCTTATTCAGTGGATATCTTATATGCTGCATTGGGAAAAGAAATCGCCTTTTCAAATGACCAGCATCCAGCCTCACCATTTACAAAATCCTTACCCAGATGGGTAGTACAGACAAGTACTAGCTACTCCCATGAACTTCCAAAATCGTCTGTTTCAGCCAGGGCAGAAACCAATCTCTGAGCTCCTTCTAGTATGCCAAGGCAGGACTTCAAAACACAAGAGCATCTGAAGAAACCTCTAACTAATATCAACAGATGGAAAAAAACCAAAACCTTCTAGAAATTTGGCTTTCAAGGACTAGGCAGCATAATATAATTCTGGATAAAACCAGAAATGCTCAGATACATTTCTTAGGCAAGGTGCTCAGAGGCATTTAATTCGTATTTGGGGTGAAGGTTCAGGGGAAAGCCTGAACCTGCAGGTGCTTGTTTTTCAACAGGCTGCAGAAGAACTGTCTGGGCAAAGTATTTTGATAGTTTTTATTTCATTCAGACTCCCATTTGTACCGTGCTTTGCACCACTCTTTTTTAATTTAAAATCTCTCACTTCCTGCCACTCCTGGTATAGAAGAAATAACATGAAAGGAGCAAAAGGGATTTGGTTTCATTTACAGAATAAAAGAAAGACCATTCCAAACTCACTTAGAACTCAACTGCTTTCTGCATTTCCCCAAAAGTTCAATGTTTCCTCCCTCATTACTTTCCCTTTTTTTTTTTTCCCCCCCCAGAATATGGGTGGCTTGTTCATTACAGTGGGAAAGCACTAAGGCAACAACACAGAGCATGAATTAGAAGGCAGAAATTCCCTATTCCACCAAGGACCTCTGGAACCTGATCTACACCCTTGTGCCTCCACTCCGCATTGTGTAAAATGGAGATAATGGTATGTTTTCACCTCTGGGGTGCACTGGTAGATAAATACAGAAAAGGCCATGAAGCTCACAAATAGTACGGAAATGAGGAGATGCTCACATGTGTCTAGAGCTCAGTGAGGGAACATATGTATTTGTGAATAGTGTGAATGTGAAAACTTCCTGACTTTTATCTTTGCTGTTAGGTAGTTAACTGGAAAAAATTTACGTAACTTTTACACATGATTTTAACACATGAAAAAGGGAAGATCAAATATAGAACAAGTAAAGGTAGGATGTTGGGCAGCAGGCAGAAAATAACAGTGTTATTGGTAACATAGCTGATGGAAAAGCATACCTAGCGCCTCTGGGAAGCAGGCAGAGTTCAGGGAGAAATAAGAGTCTTGTCAGTACAATTCGTACAGATCCTGAATGAGGACATGGGAAAACCAGAACAACTGGGCAGGACCTGCAAAGGGCTACTGCAGGAATAATAGAAACACCATAGAAATAGCAATTATAACTGGGACACTGCCAATGGAAGTATGCACTGCTCAGGGTACATAAAAGTGAAGGTAAACCTGGGGGATGCTGTTGTAACCTTAACGCTGCAGTAGACTGTGAAGAAATAAATCATGCATAAATAAAGTGGAATCATTTGGGATTGAGATAGTTTTTGGAAGGCTGATGCAAGATATTCTATCAGGACTGAACTACAGAGATCTACTGTAGCTCCACAGGCTTGGCTTTCCATCTGGATAGAGACGTCATTACGGTTATTAAAGAGAAATTATATCCGGAACTAAGTCATTATGGGAGACTTTAGCTTTGTAGATATGAGGTGGAGAACAAATGCAAAATTTAACAGCAGCACCCTGATGATCTGATAGTTGACACATTTCTTCACCCCAAAATTAATCCAGAGGCAATAGGTCATGCTGGTTTACACTCAGTTTGGGCAAAGCAGCAAGGAACCTTACAGAAAAGCTAGTATTCAGAAATAACCTTGGATTGAGTGATTAGGGGAACAGAGAACCTGTCTTAAAGGAGGAGATTAAAAAGCTTGTTTAACCTAGATAAATGAAAGCCAAGAGGGGATATGACTGCTCTGTGTAAGTAAAGGGGGGACAGATAAACAAGGGAGGAAGAAAAGGGGGTTTTAAGCAAAAAAACAATGTTGGTACAAGAACAACTGGTTGGGAGGAAATTTGCCTTGAAAATAAGATGGATTTTAACTGCCAGAGGAGGGAAGTTCTGGAACAGCTGCCCAAAAGGAGCAGTGAAAACAACTACAATGGCGTCAAGAAGAAGCACAACTGGTTTGTATAGGGCTATATGATGTTGCTGCCCAGAGGCAGCAGGGATGGGACCAGATGAACCTTTCCAGTCCAGTGGCCTTAAGTAAGCAGAATCAAGAGGAGGGATTCCTCTGTGGAAAACCTTTTCCCCTTGACTTTTCAGCCGGCAGATGTCAAAACTCAGTCTTAATCATTATATCTCTGTCCCCCAGCTAACCCACACGAATAGAAAGACTCTTGTTATTGATATCTCCACCTCGTACTTCCCTCATTCAGCAGAAAGACTTTCTCCAGTACCATGAGAACAGAACATTCCTCTTAGCCTTTACCCAAGCTGGTTAAGTCATGACTCTCACACCTACAGCACTGACATCACAGCCATTACCAAATGTATAACTCCTGCAATGCTACAGGTCTCTATCCTCACATAGGCTGGTCTAAGCAGGTGGAGAAGAGATGCCATAGAGAGAGAAAAACTCTCTTGTTTACAGACACTTAAGGTGATTAATTAGCCACATCAGCCAAAGCAGACAAGAAATGGTTGTGAATGCTCCACATGCAAAATTAATTAACACAGAAACAACACTCCTTCCTGAACCTCAAGTTCACCTTCCACAACCACCTGGGGAAGGATGCTTTCTTCTCTGCACCTGCAGAACCAGGAATTGCTTCTAATAGCATTTCAATTAAACATGTAGGCTGCAGGAGATGGTGAAATTTTCTTCCCTCTATATTTATACAGCACCTAGCATATGACAGAGGGAGACTTGGCTTAGCATACAGACAGGGTGAAGTACTTGCTTTACAACTCATTCTGGGAATAAAAGCTCTTTGCAGAAACACAGTTCCCCAGCTCACTGAGGTCTGGCATTTACACAGCTCTTGCCATTTTTGCTGAAACATTTCTTTCCTGATGCATTTATATGCTTTTTGCAGTTACTGAGGTCCTGTCCCCTGCCGTGATTAGCCTGAGAAGGTTAATGAGATATACTTTGAGCGCTTCTGACTTCTGCAAAGTCAGTGAACTATGGAGCTCCACTGGTGTCACAGAAAGGTCAGGACTGTGAGAATGCCAAAGTGTTTGCCTTGGTAAATCATTCCTCCAAACCAGAAGGTACTGAGAGCATAAAACGAGCCAGGATCACTTGATAGCTCCCTCTGAGAGATAGTGTTGTTCTTGGTGGTAGTGTTAACTTGGTGGCCCAGGAAGTGGTTCATCCAGGCAAGGCCAGCTCATGCAGGAGCAGCATGGTTTCCAGGGGGACATATTTGTTCAAGGTCCTCAGTGCTACCTGATGTACACATAACCATGATTTATGGAAATGCATGCTACAATCGGCAGAGGCATAATTAGGAGACATGAGAGGAGAGGTTAGAAGAAGCTGTTCACGGTAGTGTGGGCTGTGATCTGAGTAGTCTGGAGGATGTAACTCAGCCCAGCTATAGCTTTTAGGAAGGGAAAATCAGGTGTTAGGATTTTGTAAGAAGAACTAGAAAAAAAATTTTTATTTTAACAAACACTGCAGACCGACTGTACCATCCAACATAACCCACCTCCAGCTAACAGGCAGTGACAGCAACTGACTCAGGCTCTTACTTCAATAATGCTGCATCCTTAGAGCCATCATGCCCTTCTGAAATGACTGTGTAAGGATAGGGGAGCTTAATACAATGTCCTAAACTCCAGCAGCATCGGTCTGTTCCGATTCAGGGCTGGGAAATAAAACCTAAAGCCAGGGAGCTTATACCGCCTCTATCCTTTCTGATCTAAGGTGAAAGAAGGTTTCACCTTGAGCATCTCTACTGGTCTCCTCTGCAGAACTGTGGGGCAAGGGAAAATGTAGCAGGGATACTGGTAAGATTGCCTGTTTTGTGTCACAGGGGGATTGGGAATCACAAAGGTTTAAAGAAAAATGTATTTTTATGTGCACATATGTGCATCTAAATGTTTTGTGAAAGCCTTTTGCGGTCTCCAGGAGTGCATCTGCATTGTGCAGGTGTGTGTCTGCATCCAGTACGTGTCCATGCATGTAATGCCCTATCTAACGATTTTTCCCCTTGGCTTTCCCTGTTGAGTGCTGGGCTTGGGTTTGCATTTTGCTGAGCTTTCATTTCTTTCACTCAGACTCTTTTTTCCTCCCTAAAACAATGTTACACAGGGGGAGTGATGGGCTTGCCAATTCACACCACAGTCTGGGAGATGGTTTAGAGCTTAAGCTGGTAAGTGGGTCCTGTACAGCAGTGTACAAAACCCCAGTGTGTATTCCCCTGTGCAGTGACACCTACTCTTCACACAGAGCACATATCTCTCCCAGCATCTCTTGGGACCTGAGGCTGAAGGAGTGTTTACAAATGCAGATCCAGAGGAAGACCGAAAACTTTTCCTTGTGCTGAGAAAAGCTAAATGTTGAAGCAGCCCCCAACAGGGTTAGGGGAGGAGGCAACATGATGAGAGAGGGGGTGGGTTGCCTAAACCTCACAATTTTCTGAGCTGTGCAGGGAAGACCAAAAAAGCATCTCAGAACATCAGAGATACCCTTTAACTTTCACTGGGAGGTGTTGCAGCACGTGAAACACCTCCCCATCCGGAATACACCAGCCAGAGCCCCTGCCCTCCCGCACAGCAGCCCCGCATTGCCTCCACGCAGAGATGCACGCCTGCCAAGAGAGACACAGGCAGGCACGGCCACATGCACACCCCGCTGCAGAGAGACGCAGCGTGCTCAGCTCTTCTCTCACTGGTGAATAGGGGAGGAACACACCTCCTCCTGAGGAACTACTGCACATGTTGGGAGCAAGATTTCAGGGAAGGCCGTTACCGAGCTTCATGCCCCTGTTCCTTTCCTTTGCCACCACTGAGAGCTCTGGGCAGGTGATTGCAAAAGCTGTCCCCATCCACTGCACACTCTTTGTCTGGATCTTGGCCCTGGATTCACACTGGCATAGCCACAGCCAGCCCCACCGCCTCCACGCCTTCAGGGTGCATGTCTGCATGCCCCACATGAAGCTGACACATGGTGGGGTGCCTCGTGCACTGCACTGGAGCCGTCCCAAGGGGTAGCCAACAGAGCCAGTGCTCCGAGTTGTCATGGGATCTCCAAACCGAGCAGAAACACCATCTCTGCTCTGCATCCTGGTTCTCTGCCAGGTCTCTTCACTCGGCTTTACAAACAGGCCAGATGGTAAGCAAAGCTGTGGATAGGGGCAACCAGGGACACCCTTTCTGCTTTTACTCTACCCTTTGTGTGGTTAAGGGGGCTGCTCTCCAGCATCCTTGCACCTTTTCTTATTCACAGTCTCCCTTGCCTGTCTCTATGGAGAAGGCATGGAGATAACTTCATGCCCTGACTCAGTTTCTCCCTCCCTCCTCCTTTTTGTTATTCACTCAGGTGCTCCCCAATAAACACAGG